CAAAAGCAAAATGCAGTAGAATGTGAATAACAAAACCAATATTAATGAACAACCTAGAATCAGAAAATATTAATATGCTATGCTTTGATATAAGCCATATCAGCTTAAGTGGGGTGAGAGGGAGAATTTTTTCTTCAAGTTTTGTCACCTAGAGAGTGCTATAGCATTTCTCAAAATTAAAATCTCATCACAATACTAAATTAGAGAAGTAACAGATGTTTTCAATCTCAACATGTAAAGTTTATGAGGTTCATTTCCCCAACCAAGCAGAAGAAAGTCATTTCAAACAAACTTTCACCAGCTTTGCATATTCAAGTTGTGCAGGATATGCAAGGAAATTCCTAGTAATAAAAATTTAAACCTTAGTAATGAAAAAAAAAAAAAAAAAAAAAAAAAAAATGACCGGAAGATGTATAGTCCAAAACAAGTATTCTACACTGCCTGATCGTAAGATGACATAACTTATGATCTTCACCGTTAAAGATTAATACAGAAATTATGCTGAAGCAAAATCATCCCCAATGATCCAGTTTATCAATTTGACAACTGGGTTAAGATTGTCTTGTAGTCGCATTTCACAGGTAAAAGTTTTTAATAAATTGGGAAATATTTTGTAGCTTCACCTTTCTTTAATTCTGATAACAAAGGATCATGGTTGGGGTGGGGGCGAGGCTAAACAATGCCCCACCCACTCCAGTACTTTTATCTTTAAATACAAAGCAAAAGTTATAAATAACCTATTTAAATTTAAGGTTATTTTTTAGCTTTCGATTTCCCTAAGAAAAAAAAACAAACAAAACACACGGATGAATGGAAAAGAAGCGTTTTAGTGCGATGACTATCTCAAAAATCGATATTTGCCCGTCAGACCATCTAACTCATGTCATTCAGTAAAATTGTAAAAAGAAGGTATGAAACAATATTTGTTTGAATTTTCGAAAATACGCATATATAAAATAAAATGTATTTTATAGAAATTGACAAAAAAAAAAAAAAAAAAAACACAATCTAAAAATGTAACAACGGAAAATGAGCCAAAAATCAAAAAATTGGTGGCGTATTATTACAAGTACTATACGGTACCCCACCTCCACCCCAGTACCGTTACACTTGGAATACAATAGAGAATATATCGGCTGTAAACTGTAAAAGTCATCAAGGAACAAGTGACATCCATGAATTTTGTTTAAAGAAAAAAAAGAAAAAGTCATCCAGCAGTGTGTGGCATAATCTTTCCAGGAATCATCAGCTGACTTCACCAGTAGACTTTATAGTAGTAGACCAACAAACAGGCTGACGAGAAGAGGCAGAGAGAAACCGAAAACTTCTCGGCCACCAGAGGTGGGTGGGTGTCATGGCTCGTTAACCAGCTGTCAAATCTCCCAGTTTAGTTTTTAAGACACGCAGTCATTTTGATTTAAGAGTATATATATATATATATAAAAACAGAAACTCATTCAATTTTAGTGAAAGATGAAATTGAATTTTTTTTTTTTTTTGCTGAAGCTAAGTATAAAATTCAAATGAAATATTTTTCAGAATTTTAAAATGTTTCTAATAATACTCAATCGAAAACTTCCCGTATCATGAAAACATAGACAATCCATATTTTAAAAATGCTAAGATTTAAAATGGAAACATTCCATTTTGTCCTAAGTGGGTCAAATTAATAAAGTAATTGTCAATTTAAATTTTAAATTCGGGTTGCAAAGCCTAAACCAGTAGAGATCTTATTCGCTTAGCAATAAAATAATCTTGGAGAAAATTTAAAAAGAAAGAAAAAAGAATTTGGTCAAAATTGATTTTTGTACAAATGCAGAACTTAAACGAAGAGAAAATTGGACAAAAGATTTCAATACAATTCCTTTAGGAAGAATAAAGTTAGTGGTATTTGAAATTCGGGAAATGCGTAAGAACTGTGTATGGGAAGATGCAAGAAGAAATAAAAGATATTTTTTCTCCCACACTAACTGAAAAATGAATTTATAGATCGATAAGCGACCCCTCGGCTCGGCTGCCAAGACTTACTGGTTACATCTTGATTAGCAAAGAAATAAAAAAGGTAAAATTTAGTACATGTTTTAAAAAATCTAGTTGTAGTGATGTCAGGTTTCCAATAGTAACGCCAGGGAGTTTATTTTTAGAAGTAGACTGATCGTCCGGTTCAATTGGAGGGGGGATACTGATTTTGTTTGTTCTAAAATTTAAATAACCAATTTGATAGTGAACAACTTTCATGAAAAAGGATTCCAGTGATCACTAAGGTGGTCTGAAAGTCTTGTCACCGCCATATAATATAATTTTTTTTTTTATTTCAGATAACTGACACGAGTTCCTACAGACCTTCTCGATGCGTGACAGCATTAATGAAAGTGAATAGACTGAAGCCAGTACATGTGTCTGTATTTATTCTCATTACTTTTTGGTGAGGGTAACAAGACTTTCGGACCACCCCGTACATACTTTAATCTTTTTATATGGCTTCCTAAAAAGAGGAGGAAAGTAATTTTATACAATTTGATACCACAGCAAACAAGCCAGAAAGCCTGTTGTTGCAACACATACAGAACTCCATTTATAAGGATACCAAAGAGTTGCGATGCTTAGCGGCAAGAAAGAATTTCATATTTAAATAAGCATTTCAGCACTGACCAACCCTGATCGTTTATGGTATTGCTTTCTAATTTTTTTTTTTTTATCCAGAAATACTTAACAAGAGCGACTAACAAGGGAGATAATCGAGTTGAATGATCGGTGGGGAGTGAGATCGTTGGATAATCGACGATGAAAAATACCGTAGGGGAAATTACTTTCATTAAATAATCACAATCAAAAACAAAGGAAAAAAAAAAAAAAAAAAAGAAAAGAAAACAAAACAAACAGAAAAGATTAAAAATTTAAATTTAAGCCTCTCAGTGGATAATAAATTCAAAATCTTTGACAATTTAGGTCATAAAAGAAAGGAGGCTAGTTCATTATAAAAAAAAAAAAAATTTAGGACAAAAATGTCTTTTTTTTTTTTTTCGAAAGGAGGAATTGTTTGATTTCAATCAGTTAGTGGTGTGTGGGGTAGCTACAAACAAGAAGTGTTAACATTAACGCACAGTAAAAAAAAAATAAGAAAAGAAAAAGTTTCGTCTAATTTTAACGGATTCAAATTTTTAAATCAGAAACAGGAATGTGCTGAAATTTTTAACGCATTTTCAATTTGTTAAATTAAAAATAGAATATTTAAATCGATCTAAAATGATCGTAAAGTTATAAAGTACAAATGGAAAGAAAGTGAAACTGAAGATATTTCAATATTACCTTGAAAAAGAGAAAAGAAAATGGAAATTTCCTGGAAAGAAGATCCAACAACTCAAACTATTTTTTGTAACAGGAAAACGAAAGTGACATTTCCCAGATTTTTACAGTTAATATTTTAGTTACATTTACTTTACATTCATTGCAATAAAAAATAAAAAAAACAAAAGAAAAAAAAACGAAAAAAATCTGTAACTTAGGTTTTAAAGGCAATGAACAAGTGTTTATAAAAAAAATCATTTAAAAAACACATGAACTGAAAATTGTAGTAAAAAATAAAAAAAAATAAAAAGGAATGTAGATAAAAAAATCCAAAGTAAAAAAAGTTTCTTTAAAAGTTAAAAATAAAACTGTAATAATGTAGTTCAAGCACTCAATTTATGCGAAGTAATAAAAAACACATGGTTTACATTTTAAAACGTGTTTAATTTCACTTGACTGATAAAAAAAAACCTACAATAAATACTTTTTTTTTTTTTTAAATAATCGAAAATAAGTCATATTTTGTAGGATATGATTGAAAATTATTCTTTAGTTTATTGAAGACTATCATCGACATTTTGACACATCAAAATATCTATTTTTTTAATTTTCTAAAATAAAAGTATCAGGGCGTAATTAAATAAGAGTGGAAAAACATTTTCTAGACAACCCATTTAAAAATTATTATTCTTGGAATTTTCGTTTTATCAAGTTTGAAAAAAAAAAAAAAAAATCAGTTATTTCATTTATTACAGTAGTTTGTGACTGCAACAAAATAAAGAAAATTTATATGAATCCTTACCTTACGATTGGAAAAAATTTTTTTAGATTTTTTCACTTTTTTTAGTTTTCAATTTTCAGTAAAAGAAAAGATTTTTCTAGCACACGAACAACATCTACATGGGTCACCTTTATTTCCGATAACCATTTTTTATTTAAAAAAAGAAAAGAAAAAAGCTAACAATTCTATTACATTCATTACTACAATCTTTTAGTTTTAAAAATTTCAAAAAATGTTCTCAGAATGGAAGCAAAAATCGCATTTAAAAATTTGAATTAGTGAGACTGTAAAAATTGTAAACTTCTAGAAACGTTATAAAAAAAAAAAGACGAATAATTAAATTAAACGAAGTTTTTTTTTTTTAGAATGAAAGAGCTTAATAATTAAGGGAAATTTCTTTTTAAAATCGGTTTTCTTGAAATGTGTATTTTTTTAAGGGAACGAGGTGTCTTGTCAAATTTTATAGGAAAAATTAAAAAAGAAAAAAAAAAGAAAACCTAATTTTCACAGCCATAAAAATCATGTGCGATTTCTCTTTTCTAATTTTATTTAACGGTTTCAAGGTCTGACAGCATTTAAACGAAAAACAATCTTAAGCTAAAAAGCAGTAACCTTCAAAGGAAGCAGAGTCCAAATAAGTAAAAACAACCTGAAAATAACGGTTTATAAATCGTAAGTTTTCAAAAAAACTATATGAACTGCTGACAAGCAACACACTTTCACAGCCATACTTGCATGAAAACACGGACACAAAATAAGGGTCCAGTTTAACGTTATACGTACATTCTAAATCGAACCCCCATATTAGAGCCAATAGACACGCTTCCCCTTTCATGAAATAATACGAGTCGTTTAAATTAAGGGTAGCAACAGCTGAGAGCGAGAAACAACAGACGAAATATTGGATTACATTTCGACAAAGCGTACGTACCCTATAAGATCCGGTTCGTAATGTCTATCCTTGTTTTTCCAAGGCGTTAAAGCGCCATCTTTTATGATATGCTTCACCGAGGAATGATTCAAGTCGTACGTACTGGCACGATTATTGTCACGTTTGCGCTTCAGCTGATTCTGTTGGGTGACAACACTGTGGTCACCATTCTTTCCGTCCACGTTGACAAAATCCAAGGGGATATATTCATCGTTCTTTTGGTCGGAATTTAAAAAGTTATTATGGTTTAGGTACATGGTGTCCACGCCTATTTGCGCCTCGCAAATTCTCATCCAAAGGGTATACGCTGGTTCAAGCTGCTCCAGTGGAAACCAATCAGTTCCTGGATCCATATACCTGCCCAAAAAGAGGCCTCCCTCGCCTGGATCACGATATTTCCTTCCCTATTATTTTTTTTTTTTTCTCTTTCTCTCTTTTTTTAATTTTTTTGTATCTTTCCTCAGCTAAAATCAAACTTGAACCCAAGCGAGGTCAAGAAAAAAATCGGCGACTAACTATTTCAAATTTTCAGAAATGAAGACGCTATTGCGCATGCGTGATTTGGCCATGTTCGAGAGTGCATCGAAATTGTGAAACGGGGGGAACGAAATGTGGTAACTGGTAAAAGTCGGATTCCTACAGAAAGCATTTAAGAAGCACTCTTATCCGAAAAAAAATTCCTGAAAAACGTAATATATTTTTAAATAATTTTCAGTATATTTTAGAAAAATATATTTTAAAATATTCTAAGATATAAGATTTATAAAAGTATATAATACCTGAAAAAAACTTTAGAAAAATATAGTACTTGTAAAAAAAATAGTATTTCATAAATTTTAAAAATAAAAATAAAATATTTTTAAAATTTATGTAATAGACATGAAGTACTTAAATAGTACTTAGATAAAAAAAATATTATTTCATATAAGTAAACCAAAAGTTTAAAATATTTTTTAAGTTTATGTAAGATATACTTGCACACATAAGAGTGGATGCTGAAAAGTTCTCAGTCCAACCTAGTTACCAACATTAGACCAAATGACCAAGTATGAGAATTTATTTTCTAAACCTTTTTTGGTTAGACTAAAAACATTTTAGTTCCTCTCAGATTATATATTTAATTAAGAATAGTTAACCAACTCAAGAGTTTCTTGTAAAAATGTTCATCAGGGTCAGATATTTGAAAAATACATTAAATTCTAAATATGTTAAACTAGCTATGATAATGAAAAGTGTACCTTGTCACATTACTGGAATAAAAGGCAACAATGGATGAAAATTCTCAATAAATTCATAATGATTAAGATGATATGCTATCATTTAAATAATAATGAAAAGTTTACCTACTCAGATTGTTGGGATAAAACATTTTTATGAGTAAGTAATATAAAATAATTATTAATAAATAAATATTATAATAATCTAAATTTGTCTTTTACACTTGCTTTTTAGAGAAATGTATTTGAAACAAAACCAGATGGTTAATAAAAATTAAATTCAGTGTTAAAGTTTCTATATATAAAATTGGCTCAAAAAGAACAGCCAAAAAATAATTTTGTTAAGGTGAACTGTCTGTGATTTCTTTTTCAAATTTGAAAAATATATACACGCCTTGGATTTATTGACCAATCAAAAGACTGGCTTTCACCTATGTAAATTTAAAAGTTAGGATCCATCTGGAGCCTCTTTAGAGGATATATAAGACGAATCAGCAGATAATTTTAGAAGGTGTTTAAATATTCAATCAGAATGTGTTAAAATTTTTCAACTACAACATAACAAAAATTTCAAAGAAAAAAATGAGGAGGCATGAAAATTTTGACTTGAAGGCCTAAAAATAGGGTTCAAGAAGGAAAAGCTATTTTGGCTATTAACTATGGATGAGCTGGGCTGTTTCTTACAGAAGAAGCAAATAGAAAAAAAGACGTGAAACCAGTCAAGAAAACTGTGTTCTAAAAAAGAAAAAATTGTTAAAAGTCCTAGTGACACAAGTGAGTTTGTCAAATTCCTCCAGTTTTTTTGTTTTTTTCAATTAGGTGGGTGCACCTTTTCTGTACAGTATTTCAACCTTATTTAAAGTTTTTCTATTACCTTCCCAAGGTTTTTTTTTTCACATTATTTGAAGATTGAATTGTATATCTTTTTAAGAACCTATAATACTGTTATCTGGCTTTTATTAAAAAGGTGAACAAAAGGAATTTTTGTGCAAGCTGTTTTGTAAAAATTATATTTGCTTTAATTTCAATGTAATAAATGTTTGTTCCTTTCAAATTTCACATAGTAGTTTTGAGTCTTGTTTGTTTTTGTATGCACTTTTTTCTATAATCAAGATGAATGAGGTGACATACTCTACCCAACCCTGCAAGAAATAATCCTTTTTAAAAAGCTATAGGAAAAGAAAGCTAGAAATAAAATAATAATAAAGAGTGTATCTAGTAAGTTTGATAGAATAAAAATAATAAACTAAAACCAGCAATAAAATGATAATAATACAACAATACTTAGAGAAGAGCACTATTTAAGAAGAGAAAAAGTGATGGCACAGTGTTTGACAATGTGTTGTAAAATATTGGAACAGTTATGCCAATCACTTTGTCTATAATAATAATAATGATATAATAATAATAATAATAAAGGAGCCATGAATGGGTCCTAATAGACATTGCTGTAACTTGTGAAAACTGAACAGGTGAAAATGCAAAGGTACTAAACCTGACAGTACAAGTCAGACAAATATATGAGAGGATATTCAATCTAATAATAATTAATAATAAATCAGACATAAATAGGTGTTGATAGACATTGCTGTACCTTGTGAAGACTAAACAGGTGGAAATGCAAAGGTACCAAAAACTGACAGTACAAGCCACTCAAATATACCTAGCAACAACCGATGTTGTCCTTTTGTGGTTGGTGACTTGGGACTATTTTCAGGAAACGTTCTGCCTTGCAGGACACCTTGTGGATAACATTACTGGCAGTGCACAGGTGACAGCAATGCTTAGAACAGCTCAGGTACCAAGGAAAGTGTTGTATCTCTAAGTTGCATGTAGGAGGTGAGATATGATCATCATCTCCCAGCTGAAACATTTGAAGAGCTGGTAAGAGTATCAAATCGAATAATAATAGTAATAAAATCTGTATTTTCTGAGACTTCTAGGATAAAAAGCAACAGTAGAGGAAAACTAGTAATGAAATAATAATAATAATGAAAGTGTATCTCCTCAGACTGAAGACATAAAAAGCTACAAAATAATAATAAAAGAGCTGCCTGTTAAGTTGCAACAAGTCATTGCAAATAATAGTGACCATACAATTGAATGAAATGTAATTGCACTTTTTTGAAGAATAAATCTGACAAACAAAAATAGAATTTATTTATGACTCAGCTTAAAAATTGAAATTATTTTGTCTTATTTAATTTAAATATCTTTTAAATTATGGACAGATTAAAGCAGTTTTGTTCTTTTAATTGTGAATGCAGAATCATTTCAATTGCACAATTATTTCAGGGTTAATTAGTCAAAAATATCACAATCAAATAGTTTAAAGATATTCCAGTTATTTGATTAAAAATTAAACATGTCATATCTTGTTGGATTTCCAATTCTTTAACTCCAATGGAAGCACTCACTTCAATATCCACAGACAAAAATAGACCTTAATTTCATCTGGCTCTGTGAACTAACTTCTTTTCTGGCCAATCAGAAAATGGCCCACACAGTTTTTGCAGAGGCCATTTCTGACTAACTATAAAGCCTGGCTGGCATTCTCAATGCCAACAGCAGACAAGTGGATAACTGGATGTGACAGACTACACAACTGCCCAAACCATCAGCAGCAACACCAAGATGCTTCTATCAACAGCTATGCCTTTGGCCAGTGACAAAACCATAAGCAGCAGAGAGTAATTCCTGATTACTATTGTTGTGGAGTAAAGAGTATACTCCCACCAGTGACTTTATAAACTTGTGCAATACTATAAAAAGTTCCATAGCATTAGGTTGGTAATAGTCATATTAGAGTCAGTCTTCATACTAACTATACAGGCATATGGTAATAGCCTAAGTATTACATATAGCAAGTACAAGTGTGAGTTATAACAATAACCCTGCAATAAGAAAGTTATAATAGTTGGCAGTGAGGATAAAAATCACATTATAACTGGAGTTATAATAGTTGACAAGGAACTCAAGTACAGTATAACAAGCACCACATTATAATTGGAGTTATAATAGAGGGTGACCAGATTTTTGAAAGTCATACATGTGCAACAGGAGTCACAAGAATCTCAAACAACATTTGTTTAAAAAAATGGAGAAAACTTGACTTACAATAGTTGAAATTCAACCATAACAGAAGCAACAACAAAATATCCAACAGTTGCAAAAAGAACAACAAGAGTTGTTGGAAGTGGTTTTGAAGAAAAATTCTTCTATGACTCTTATGCCAGATGCAGTGCAAAAGACTGCATCAGAATTTGTATACAATCCTGATGACAGACTGAATTTTGCTGCATATTTCATAGACATATTTAATCAAGAATGCAGTGACTGGGAAGAAGAAAAAAAACAGGTTGTTGTTAAGGAAAATAGTGCCAACAGAGTACAAAAATTATTGCAATTTTATGTTACCAAGAAAACCAGGTGAAATAAGGTTTGAAGACATAGTTACACATTGAACCTCTGTTGTTTCTTCTTTGTCCTGCCACCATATGTTTAATATAATAAAGCTAAGGAAAAATGCACAAATTATCATCCACAACACTAAGAAGTTTAGGACTACTCCTTTCATTCCATACATGATCAGACATACCTGATTTCATTGTCTTAACCTTAATTATATCTTTTCAATATTTCTCCAGCCTTACTTTTAGAGGATAACTAGTTTCCCCTTTATATCCTTTGCTACAACTGCAAAAAAAGAGAATACACACAGTTCTTGATTATGTTCTTTGTGTTATGCTTGACTAAGCAGTGATTTGACTGTAGGGTGGAGATGCTTCTGAATAATGTTTTGGTGTTGGGTGGACTGTAGATCACATGAATCTTTTCTGACAAACCCTTGCTATAAGGAAGATAAACTGTAGTAGTTTTCTGGTTTTCCTCTTTGATCATTTTGTTTTTACCTGCAGAAGCTGAAGGGTAGTTGTTATTCTGAAGAGTACGTTCCATGCTGATCATTTCCTCTTGGTATGTATCTGGTTCACCACTTCAGATTTTTGCAGTATTGTAAGTGTAAGATGGTTCTTTTCCTTTACTGTATATGGATGATGAGAAAGTATGGATATCCT